CCAATGTAATGGAGCCTGCAAGTGCTGAGGAAACAAGACCAGAAGGGTCATCCCGATCCTTTAAGGGGAAGGCATGAATGGAGGGCGAGAATACCCTGGGGGACTGGAGTAAAACGACTTCATGTCCATACTCTACTGCCACAAGTGAGAGGCAGAATAGTAAGCCTTCAAGGGGTCCACAGCCCAAGAGGGTGACCAGCCGATATGTGAGAGAGTTTTCACAAGTCCCTGAGGGTGGGTACTTCACTGTCAGAGGGCAAGGAGAATTCAGACCACCCTCTGATTCGAGCAGTTCCTCCAGTAGTGATGGGTCGGAGGAATCGTCAAGTAGCACTACAACTGAATGGTCAGTGGATTGAACCTATTGCTGCACAGCAGGGGAGAATAATGCCTGATGCTACTATCAGTACTTCACTCTCTCGTAGTATTGTTATGACAGCCAGCAAACATTGTCTAGCACAGGGAGCTAAAACACGTGTTGGAAAGGGTCAGGACACGACCATTTCAATGGAAATTGATACTGGGAGTGGCAGGCAGGATTGGAGCGACGAACTTGATGAGTTGGAGCAAGGGGTTATGGAATTACACAGTTGAGTCAGTCTGCAGTGAGTTGCACACTGCATTGCTGGCAGTGTGGGAGGGCAGGTGTAATGGTAGCGGACTTGAGTTAGGATGGACTTGGCATCAGGGCCACTGGCCCGCCTGACCGGTGGTGTCTTAGAATACTAGTTTGGTTGTTTCACGTGTTTTTACCTGTTGCAAGGGCTCTACTGCTATTATCATAAATAGGTAGATCCCTTGTATGGTTACGACAGTCTCTTTCGAATAGGAACCTAGTCCTACTCATTTCATTCCCTTTTGCAAGAGCTCCCTGAGAGATTACACTACTCCTTCATAGCAGAACCCTTACATAGTGGGTGTAGACATTCCCAAATCCCTGATGTTGAGGGGCAAATTTTTTCTGGTGGCATGAGTGTTTGCATAGTTTGCCTTTATTTCCTTGGTGTCCTGGTTAGAGGTAGAGTCAGAGTCAGATCTGTGAATACAAGGTTCCCTCAAGTATGAGTGCTGCTGTTAAGGGGAGTTTTTGTATTTTCTTGATTGGTTAATATCTTCTCAAGGGTGAGCTCTGATGGTCCTGATGTGAGAAGAGGAAGAGTCTGAACAATTGCAAATGATGAGTCAAGGTGGAGTCAACTACATCTTGGCAGCAGGCACATGCCCAAGAGTGGTAAGTTCTTCAGTGGCAGAGATGATGCTCTGGATATAAATGGAAACTGGCTTTGAGGTGTCATGAACTGGATTGTAAAGGTGCTTCTTGAGTTCAAACCAGCTTGTATGAGAATCCTTCTTGTATTTGGATTTAAGGTTCAGCCAAATTTTATTGGCAGTTTGGGGTGGGTATGTATCCTTGAAGTGAGCTGTCCAAACAGCATTTGATGAGATGGGTTTTGTAGAGGGCTGCCTAGCATGCTGGTCTGCTTTGACCCATGCCTGAAGAGAAGTGGCATCCTTGGTGTTAGGGCAACACTAATTAAACACAAGATAGAATATAGAAATATAAAGTGAGGAGGGGACAGCTCAATGACAGGGGAGATCACACTTGTTTTAGTGGAATTCCTAACTAAATAAATGAGTATATACAGGTCTACTATTTATTCTATTTATTTGATATTTATTTAGTATTTTTTATCTATGAAAAATCTGAGAAGAACACTAAAAATGGCATGTATGCACCCTACAGTGCATAGCCACACTTTGGCACTTACAGTATGTAATCCCACCTGGCACTGTGTAGGTCCACATGACACACCAGTGCTTGCATAGGCACCGATTTGCAGTGCCAGCACACAAAGAGTGGCATCAATCTTGAGTCGGCACCATTGTCTGGCTGTGCCGATGCTGCATCCCATTGCTATATCACTGCGTGGCCGTGTTCGGGGCATAGGTGACACCATCGTTGTTATATCAACAGGCCATGCCACTATGCAGAATGCACAAATTGTGACTATCCTGCATACCCATGCATTGCAATGGTGCAACCACTTTCAATGGCAGTGGCAGCAGTGCAATTACATAATCATTCTTGCACCATGCCTGCACTGCTATATGTACATGTAAATATAGTAAAGTAAAATAAACCAAAATCAAAAAAATAATGGCAAATATATAATATATATATTGCCCTGACACTTGGGTGGTGTTGATGGACCCTTAACATGCTCCATGAAATCTGGGTCTCTCCAAAAGTCATCTCAAACTCCTGAATCCAACTACCATAGTTGTTGACATGAATCACTAGGCATGCTTTCAATAGCGGAATATCGAGTTGCCGGCCCCACAGCATAGCATTAGTGAGCCGCTAACTCATTACACGGGAATGTGTTGGAGTCGTCGGGGATCTTCACTAATATTATATTATATCATCAATAGAGAGTCCACCTCTTAATGCGTTGGAGGTATTTGTTGAGGGGAGCATGGCCACTCCTGAGTTGCATTAGTAGGCTTCGTTGGCGGCAACGGTCCAGTTCACTGGCCAGCCTTTGGAAACAGGACGACGGAATAGAGGAATACAGAGAACGAAACACAAAGCACGTAAAACGGATCATCTAGCGACATACAGATTGCTCCTCGGGGAAACACCTCTCTCCAAAGCTACTCCAGTCTTACATCCCTCCGTTATATTACCAGTTTCAAATGTTTTCAAGTCGGATACCAAAGCACAAGCTTCAGGGAACACCGAGTTACTCAGGCAATACTTGAGAAATTGGTGGTGGACTCGATACAAGTAGGAGTGAAAGAAAGCCCAGAGAATGTGCGTGCTATGCCCACAACAGATACGCGCCGAAGGGAAGGGGTCATATTGGACATCAACCGATAATGTTCGTATTGGGGAATTGTGAGGCGGATGTTTTACAGCGAGTACTCATAGGCCAGTATGAACATACAATATGACTGCATAATAGTAACAACCGCTCTGGAAATAGTGAGGGATGTGTGAACATATGAGAATGAGGATATAGCAGATAGTCATGTGGGAAGACGGCAACTCAGCAGGAGGCTTTGCGCCATCTTGCAGTGTCTCTAAATGTTGAAATCAAAAGGGTAGGAATGGTAAGTAGAAATTGCACGACTTGTGTATTCGCCCATCGGGTGTGCCCCGAAAGCGAGCGATGGGATGGTTGGCGAGTATAATGGACCAGTCGCATCCACGGTAACCTCAAGGCGGGTAACGTTCTTATCACGAATGACTTGGATGCCCAGCTCTGCGATTTTGAGGGCTCAGCAGAAGAGGGGCCTCTTCCCTACGCCTGGGGATAACCACCTTTTTATCGCATCCCGACGAAGAAAGCCACCCCTGGTGTATATTTAACCCGCCAAGATGGCACATTTGCGCTTCGACAATTTGTCCTTGGTATATTCCAGGCGCGGTCCCCATATGCTTCGCTCTCACACAAAGAAAAGTGGTATTTTATTCGGATCCGTCTGGTCCTATTCTCCCTCCTATTCCCGATATAATGGACCCACGTCTGCAGATAGTGATCAAGAATTGTTGGTCTGGTTCATACGGGAATGCTCATGAGCTCCTTGCTGCACTTAGATATTTAAAAACGAAACGACTCGGTCTCTCCACTCTTTCTTTTTGTGAAATGTCTGACCACCAGATAGTGTGGATGCCTCACACCGTGTTCGACGGCCACGCGGTAAACCATATTGGATGGACAGTGGAACCATGTGAAGTTCTATTTTTCATACTTCTATGGAATCCCCCTCCCATTCGGTATATCTTTATAAAACCATTTTTATATATTCTATGCTACCGATAACCATCTTAGTGGACTGGAGAAGTAGCATGTCATCGGTGCATACTTACAATCTTTGGTGGTCTTTGTCGTCGTGAGATGTTGACCAAGATTGAGGCACATATTGATCGGATGTAGCCCGGCGTCGTGTTAATTCTCATTCTGATGGTTCTAGTGTGGAAGGGCGACGTTACACGTCAGTCTGCAGTCCATTCCTCCAGCATTGTCCTCTGCGTCACGCCACCAGATTTGAATGTCGTGATATGAAAGTGCATATAACACAGACTCGTAGTGTTACGTTAAAATCTGGTGTATGTGTGATGGCGTATGTTAGGATTTGTTAATGGGTACCGGTATGACAGGATGATCAGATAAATTTCACAATGAGGATGTTGGTATTCATCCCAAAAACCCCATCTCTTATCGTTGGCCCCAGGTATTTCTCATAACTGTACACGCAAAAAATCTTCCGAGAAGCCATGTCAATACAAATAGAATAGGTGCTGCTTTTGAATGCTGTTCAGAGGCAGCCGTTTAACACTTCCTTTATCGCTTAGTAACGTTATACTGAATTTCAAGAGGCTCGAAATTCCCAAACAGAATGCTTCGATCGCTGGCATTTAAGATAAGGAAGAGGCGAATCCTGGATGTACCAACTGAATAGAACCCAGCTACCAAGAGTTCCAGGGGGGGAGATGGAGGAGGAGCACTGGGAGTCTGACATGTGTTCAGTGTCTAATAATTGAGTAAGGAAAGCGTGCCTAATAAAACTGTTGTGTTCCGCTGGGAAGGGACAGATCTACCCGTTCACAGAAGTCGGCATTGGATGGGGCAGACATGTTATAGTAGCTTAACAGCTGTCCTGTAATCGGGGAATGAAGTGCTTGACATCTCTGAGTCTGAAATAGCGGACGTTCAAGATTTCGTGGAATACGTCGTCAGCTCCATACGCGCGAAGGGCGTAAAGATTCCTAGCGAGAAGAACCCAACAACCTCCATCAAGATTGTATCCAGTATTTCATTGAACCGCCTAACTACGAACTGCGTATATTCTGGAAGGGTGGATCAAAATGTTGTGGTGTATAAGAACCTATCACCTTTACGATGGATGCTGGTGGTTCACCCATACTCCGGTCCCGCGGGAGTGCTCTCTTTCTCGTAGTGGATGGAGTGTGTTCATCAGACTAAAAAGAGAACCGACGGCGGCAGGATTCGAACCTACGCCCACAAAGTGGATGTGATGACTAAACTAGTATAATTCTAATCACACGCCTTAACCAACTTGGCTACGCCGTCTCGGTGACACGTGATATTTTAGATCTATCACTAGTTATGGTCTGATATTTTGTGTTCCTGTTATATCCTCGAAATTTCTCCTATCCAATTATCTCCAAGTTTAGTGGTCTGTCTGCATGACCACCTGTGACGTTCCTCTCGAAGGGGCCTGCTTTTGTGGTGCAATAACCTTTGCAGCTGCACCACCAATCTTGCTGAAGGCATACTGTCACTGTAGTAACTGCCAGCGACTCTCAGGTATGTCCGTCTCTAACGAATACCTTCATACAAGCGATTTATTTGAGCCAATAATCCTCGAGGTTGTCCATTTATCCATACAGTTCATTTTCCCAAGTCTACATTCAAGTGGACTCATGGCAAGTCCGGTGAAGATCCATTAACCACCCTAGACGGGTATTCCCTCCCCAATAAACCTCACAAAACTCGTTATCGGTGTAAAACATGTGCTGTCTGTGTCGCATCATACAACGCTGAAAAGGAAAAGTGGAGCATTTGGGGGGCTTTATTTCCCAGAGGCGAGGACAATCGTCTCCGCAAGGACGTATGGGAGGTCATCAAACCAGATGCACATATTTTTTATGATACAAGAATGGTCGACATTAATGACGATTTGGAGAAATGGGACGGCTATAAAGATATCTCAACAAGACTTGGATAGCTCATCATTGGAAAAGTTCGCTGGTTTTTGTTCTAATAGATGTGACGTGCTGTTTTTTCTGGCTATCACTGGCACTGGCATGATATAATTAAATTAGAGAGATTGAAATCGAAAGTTGTGTTATTGATATTTTGTTTTAATCCTGGCAGCCCTCACGTGAGACCATATAGCACTTTGTGCCTACGAGATTTTTGGGGTGTGCTTGAGGAGTTGTACCCCCGCAGACAACTTGAAAGTGGTTGATGCGGGTACGGCGGGACGCCGTCGGCTGAGAGGTGGCTCCCTACATCATGACAATAGCACTAGGTATCGAATATTGTGGCAATCAACAGGACATAATTATCTGGAGTTCCTTACAATTATGCAGTCGCTACTTGACCTGATGCGGCGTGTCCGAGGCTTTATTTTCGGAGGACAGACGAAAACTTCAGAAACATCAATTATCCCTCAAGATGACGTACTCCAAGGTCCGGAGTCAATGCGACGGCTCGGGATTTAAATTGTACATCAGGAAAGTGGGAAGATCAGTAAGTCTCCCGTCTATATTATCTAGAGCCATCTGGGAGAGCTAGCTAGCTCGGCTAGACACGGCTAGACACATTACTTTCGCGAGATGCCTATTTACTAGTCGGTATAAAAGCTTACTATAGATCTAGGGCATCTAGGTAGGCTAGGGAGTCTACATAATGGGTGCGACATATGTCGAGGCATAAAGGCTGATACATACATATGTAGTCTCGTTAAAACTTGAAAAACCTCCACTCAACTCGGCAGGGTTTTGTCGAAACAAGAGGAATAATGACTACGAGAAAAATCTTGTAGTTAATTACATCCGGTATATCCCCTGCCATTGCTAACCCGTCTTTGTACTCCACTGGGATATTATATATTTACGCCTCTCTCTCCGAGCAGGAGCAGTCCCACAATATTTACGATCAATCTACAATCCTTGAGGCTATTGTGGATATGAACCTTACTTAAAATAATGATTTACTATTAACCATTTGCTTTCGACCGTTCTAGGTATATAACTCGGAGAGTAGTCTCCGAACGCGGAAGGGAACTAAATGATATCGTTGACTCTTAGCAACTAAAACGATCGAAATAATGGTATCACGAGGACTTTTCAGATTGTAGATTCCCAACAGGCCTTACAGTCTTAGAAAGCTGCACCTATTCTAGTGATAATTTTATAAGTTTCTTACTAAGGACCTAACAATCAAGCTGAGTTTCAATACTTTCACAGTTTCATCACGCCTCGCTGGCTCAATGGTAGAGCGTAAGACTCTTACAGTCCCTCTGACCGGGTAAGAGTCTTAAGGTGCGGGTTCGATTCCCGCGTGGGGCAATACTTTTATCCCGTTAAATCACGGGCTCCTACCTCGAGTTCCTATTGAACCAGGTATATATCTCTTTTTCCGAGTGCGTGAAATATTTTTAACCATTATGGAACTAGTACCATACATGAATATGCAGAACTATTACGAATTTATCCTTTTGTCACTGTAAATGCTAGTACAACAAAAGTAAGGTGCAGTGTGACAAATGTCTGGAATGTGGGAAAAAATAGCAGACTCAAATGCAGACCGTTACAACGGTGTCGTGGTTCAGTGTGTATTACGATGTGGATCCCATGAATCATCCCTTGCTAGCTCAACTGGTAGAACGTAAGACTCTTACCGTCTCTCTGACCTGCGTAAATGACCGACTACTGCGTAGATGAGATTCATGGCTGAAACTGTGCCACGTCCATCTAGCAAAAGCAAAGCCGTCGTACGCCCATATGACAAATAATCAGCGTTCTCATAATTGTCGTACGCATATCCGCTGAAGTTGTTTTCGCCCCGCCTACAGTCAAGCGGAAGTCAAGCGGAAGTCATCCTGCGTCCTATGTCTTATCCCATGGAGGCGGCCTTGTACTAGGAGATAAAATCTCGATCTAGAAGCAGATGTTGGTGACGGGGCGGCTCACCCAGGTACCGAGGTTAGTTTTCCTGACACGCAGATTTGCGATGTTGGTTGTTTAACCAAATTGTTAACCAGGGATCCACCAAAATCTTCAGAGCACGCACAGAATATAACTACAACATAGCGAACAGTTTCACACTCCCACAAGACCCCTCACCCGCCTCATCCACCATTCAACATATTAACATTATTATCAGAGACAACAGCATCCTTCTCCTGCTCGTTGATCCCGTCATCTGTTTCCGAGACGCCTCGTACATACAATACCAAGAATTTCACCTTGCACCTACAGCTTCACCTGTTGCCCTCGATTGGCTTACTTGCGGCCGAATGTCTCTCGGGGAGGAATGGGACTTTGCTTGGTACCACAGGGTCAATGAGGTATGGCGAGACGGATGGCGCCTCCACGCGACGTCATGTTGCTAGAGGCGTCTTCCCCAACACCAACGAAGGGGCTTATATCCAGTAAATTGTCGTCTCCATCTTGGGATGGATCTTGCGGAAAGCCTGAAGCATGACAAGGGTCAAATACAATAATTTATGGTGCTTTAAATCTCTAACCATTCTGTGATCTTCGAGCGTAAACTGTTCACCCGCGAAAGCGGTGGTCTCGTGCACACCGCCGGAGCAACAGAAAATGGTATGTATACCACTAGGAGGGAAAAATCGAATATGATGCCTCTTGCCAACAACGATATACACAAGCTCGGCATCGATTTTCGTCTTCTGAAAGACCTCTGTATACCACAATCAGAGCCACATCGTATTGACAGACGGCTAATTACTTTTTATAATTTTGATTTCTTCACGCGCCACCACTTCAAACTCGCCCTCTGAAAGACCGTCACTGTGAGAAGGGTACAATTTCAGTAGACGAAACATAATAAAAAATGATGTTTCGTCGTAATCACCGATAAAATATTATGCGCAGAGGATTGTCATTTTGCTTAAAGACGTTTTGGTGGTATCTATTGAACATCGATATCGCGTGCTGGTGGTCTAAATCAGGAGACGAAGAATGTCAAAATGTTATTATAGACTTACTGCCATCATGTCACCCAGTCCGATGATGCCCTCGACTCTACTCTCTTGAACCGATGTTGATCCTACGTACCGACACATATTTGCATCGACTGAAGAAACCAATCCTGCTACGGACGACCTGTCTGAATCAGGTCCAGCATGACTGACCTCTGCCCCTATTGCTGGATATCAATATTGAGTGGAAACTGATTGTGGAATTTCTGACCTACTACCATAGTCGGTGACCCTTTCAAATACTTCATGCCTGGAGAGATTCACTAGGATACCAATTTGACGCCTCCGATGCGCATATTGATTCTGAAGACCATAGGTTAGATTCCAGAAACTAGCACAATATAATTACGAAAATTAACGTAAGAGCCACATTGTTACAGTATTGGTTGTTTGCGCTTCGTATCTTACCACGCTTCCATGAAAGATTTATCCACAGTAAATATCCGGAAAGAAAATATGTATCACACATTGAGTCGGACAGCGCTGCCGACAGTCCCCCCAGTACTTTACAGCGGTGATGACTTCTGGGACGAAATCCGGCAATATCACCAAAATAAACGTGGCTTTCTCCTTATATGTCTCTCCAGCAAGACGATAGGCATTTTCAAATTGCTACGTCGTATAATATAAGTTGATAAGAAAGTATATTTAATGTGAATCATCAGACAGCAGACTCACTTCCTCTAGGGATTCGTAGTTACCCTGCGGCCTGGCCTGGATAAATGGCGGCTTGGATGATGGAAATCCTGATGAACCACCGTTGAATTAAAATAACTTGTATGTTTCAGCATCACTCACTCATTCCTATAAGCATCACCGTCAGTACAGCAAAATGAATTGATGTGATCATGCACCTAATGCCATACATGGTCTATGAAGGTCTAAGACAAAGATTTCTACCTCACTGGGACTTGCTTCCCGGTCAAAATCACTGCCCAGGATATTACATCTCTGAATTCAACCGATTTTCTGTTCATGACATTCCATGCGCCATTAGTAGGAGACCGATGAAGGGGCATCGATCAGCAGTGAGACCGTGTGGGCAAACAATGACTTAGTTTTATCTTTTTTTTTAAATACATTTGTATACCGCATCGCAGACCGTAGATACCATAGCGGTTGGGAGCAGGTACCCTAATGGTAGGTGGATAGGTATGTAGGTACTCGAGTAGGTGTGGGTATGCGGGTCAAATGTAGAGTGGGGGGAGGGTGAGAGAGCAGAATAATGACTTAGTTCCTCGAAATTATTGCCATACCTGATTTTGAGAGCGGGGAGCGTTCTTCCCGGAATAACCATGGGCATACTCCCAATTTTCATACCAGAGAAACGTAAGAA